TTATTCTTCTTCCTTCTTCTCCTTCTACTTCATCATCTCTATTTTGAATAAATGCTGATAAAAATTTACTTGACTACTTTTATTCACGCAAAATACCATGGTACATGTAACAAAATGCTGGAATTCATACCATGATATTTACATGGTTCATGTCCAAAACACTGTGGTAATACCATGGTATTTTTGTATGGGACATGTACAATGTGAAGTGTTAAGAGTATAGGTGTATCTGTTTTTAAGTAATACAAATTTGGCCCCTGCATCCCAACCACCCACCCACCTTGCAGGTGGCACCCTAGATCGTAAACTGCAGGTTTTTATAGCTGTGTTTTCAAAGAAAACTCGCCTACAGTCTTTAAACTTCACCTTACACTCCACACTTCATTCCAGCGATTCCAGCTTCTCAGGGTCGCCTGGGGGTTCTGAACGCTAAACTCACCCGGCTCTAATCTAAATTGGATCTAAATCTATTCGGACCCACTATAACCACAGGGTGTGCATGTGAAATGAGGTACCATGTATCCGGCGCTCACGAAGAGATGCTCCATATGTACAGTCAGTATCACTGACAAGCATCCTGTTGAAGCGTTACAAATATTAGTGATGTCAGCTACAGTCTCATACAGTGGTGGAAAACTCTCTCTGAGTGTCTCTTCACTCCAATGCAGGTCAGGTGAAGGTCCATAACTGACTCAAAGTGGTCAGGACACTCGCACTCTGTTGACATATGAGTGATGATTAATCGAAAATGTGGATGCCTTTCTCAGGAAGAAGCTCCGTGTCTGTGCTCCATAGTAGCAAATCCATTCAGCTGCAATTATTTGAGTGCATTTGGTTGAACTTCTCAAGATTTACATTCAGATTCGCAAATTCAGACCTCTTTGAGAACTGGTTTGACATATTCAGAGGAACCTAATCGCTCAAAAGATCAATATGACCGATCCACAAAGCTTTTCTTGCTGTTATAATGCATGTGCTTTGCAGTCGCAAATGTAAATAAAGGATCTGGAGGAATATAGAAGTTTACAAAACCTGTACTTAAGTACAGTAACAAAATATTTGTACTTCACTTACAATAGAGTGCTGCAGGAATGACGTCTATTTATAGCCAAAACCTGGAAATTAGTTGCATATTAGCACTTCTGGTTCTATCGTCCCAAAGTCAATAGTTTTTTTTATTTTTACTTGTCATGAAAAAGGTGGTTGATAACAGGTGTGTAAATAAGAATACAGAGATTGTCGGGGACACTAGACATAATCAGACTGAACAGGTAAACACATACTCGCTAGAACAGGGGTCACCAACCCCTGGGTCGCGACCGAGTACCGGGCCGTGGAAGAGTTGCTAACGGGGTGCAAGAACGCAAAATGATCCTGGGCTATATGCGATCCCACTGTATTATTTATTGTGCGTTTTCCCTTTAAGAGCCAATATCCAAATTTACATGGTGTCCATGGTTATACAAGGTATTCCGCCCTTCATGACGTTCCAAATGTATAACGTTCCGAAACTTATACAAACCCATAAAGAATGTATTTGGCACAGAAATACTCCGTCATACATCCAACTCATTTTCTGAAGCTTTGGCCATGTTTAGCACGAGAATCCAACTCTTTAACGGTGTAAATAACTCAGAATGCATGAAATAGCATTACACCCCCCCCTTTAATCAAAGGAGACATATGCGTGTATCTTTAGAGAAGCAGTGTGGAAAGTCGCTTCTGGGACACTTCTGGGTAACACCTTAGAATAGGGAACACATATTCACTATTAACTAAGAGTTTTCCCTGAACAAACTCCTAATTTGCTGCTTATTAATAGTTAGTAAGGTAGTTGTTAAGTTTAGGTATGGGGTGGATTAAGGGATCTAAAATACGGTCATGCAGAATAAGTCATTAATATGTGCTTTATAAGTACTAATAAACAGTCAATATGCTAGTAATATGCATGCTAATAAGCAACTAATTAATAGCTCAAATCTGGTCCTTAAAATAAAGCGTTACCCACTTCTGAAACGTGCCACGGCACGGCTGGTATAAATACAAACATTGACTAGAGTGGCCGCGATCAGCTCCGGTGGCCGTGTTGGAGCTGTGATTTGCTGCAGACGTGTGCAGTGTAAATAAGGGGTTATCCAAGCATTAATGGAAAGGAAAGGCCCTTATACTTGAGAGTGGCCATGTGTGAGGTGTTTCTTGGAAGTTATTGTACATTAAAGAATGATCATGTGACTTTTATGTACGCCATGTTTCCATTGCAGTTCTGCGAAATATTCCTTTTTCGAATTGCCTCAAAAAACCACCTCATGCGAGCATAAAAACATTTTTGCAATATATGGGAGTTTTTGTGAAATTGACGTGTTACCATTTGGTGTATGCAGCTGCTGTCACACCAAAAGCCAATGGAAAAATCCTATTGGATTTTTGTTGAGGAAACCAGGATGATGTGAACTTACTGGCTGGCCTACAAAATTACGTCATAACTGCAGCACTCTATACACTCTTTACAGTTTATTTTATATATAAAAAAAACTCCACAGAAACACCCATGTAAGCATGCAACTGTTTGTGTTTAGAGCAACTTAATTAGCAGTGTTGTCGTCGATATTATAGCACATGTGAGACATGATTTAATATGCCAGCAGTAGTTTCCAAGGGTTTTATGGCAGTCAGATTCTTGATGCTGGACTAACTTTTCTCAAGAAGAGTGTGAGCGTTCAGACTTTAAATAACAGTGAATGAAGACTGACAGGAGACAAATGTATTCATGTGCAGATGTGCCTCAGATCACCAATATGTCATCTCTCTTCCCTGGCGTATGGAGCTTTTTCCCCTTTGGCCAACTTTTCCCAATGCAGCAGCTTTAAATTCCATGATGTTATTAACTTTTGAGAGTAACAAAATAGTGTTTTTAATTAGTTTTAAGAGCTCTGAGAACATCGCCAGATGCTGTAATCTAGTCACATTCCTGCTCTGTTGATCTTTGGTTTTGTTTTCGAGGTACTGGGCCAGAAAGATCTTTGGGAGAAATGACAGCTAGCGAATGTAAAGATTTCCATGTCAGCACACGGAAATTATCTTATATGAGCTGCTGTGTCAAATTATTAATGGCCCAGCTATGCTGGAATGTCCAGTGCCCTATCTAGTATACTAATCTATATGTAGTGGAAGATTGTTAGGATGCGTTAATTAGGTCAACTGGAACTGGAAACACTTCCCAAACACCCAATGTACTTGTTACATCATAAGAAGAATGGCATCTACGCTAATATTAGTCTGTTTCATTCTTATTCTGAGTTCACCGTATCCATACGGATCCAGTCTGTATCCAGTCCAGATGGTGGATCATCACCTATAGCCCTGAATGTCAGTGGAGATCATGTCAACTAGATGAGCCCCAGAGACAGATCCCCTGCGAAGACCTTAGGCGATAAGGTCTTGTATATTTTATATACAAGACCATGAGAACCAGACGAGTCCTCTGCTCAATCTGACTTGTGTTGCAGACTGGTTTCTTCCAAGGTTTTTTTCTCCGTTTCTGTCATCGATGGGGTTTTGGTTCCTGTTGCCTTTGGCTTGCTTAGTTTGGGACAACTAATTTTTGACAATACTATCGACTTTATTGCACAGACACTATTGGAAGGGAACTGAACTGAGCTGGACGATGACATCACTGAATCATCGATTAACTAGAAAATTGACTGTTTACTATTGTACTCTTTTTAGAGCTGCTTTACGGCAGAAGTGAAATTTGTTTGCATTATCGACATACTATTAAACAGTTTTTAACTGTTTAACACTGCAAAGCTGCGTTGACACAATCTGTATTGTATAAAGCGCTATATTGACTTGACTTGACCCGAGGAAGGATAGTTGTCCTTGCTGACACACTCTGTTTCTTTAGAATCCCTAAAAGGCTTTCTGATATTCCCCGTTTCCTGAATCAGACACTTTTTTTTATCTTGAATAATGTTGTTACACTAAAATATCATTAAGAACATTAAGTGTCAATCACTAAGTGTCAATCATTTTGGGGGTGTACTGCTGCATGGATGAGCAGGGAGTTTTTACCCAGAACAGAACCACCAATCCAAACTGTGTGCCAAGTGTCAATCATTTTGACGATAGTGGTCCTGACAGAAATAAATGCTAAATGGAAGGGTCTTGTATCATCCTGAAGCGGATTATTTTGTGATAATGACCAGCTGACTGTACTTTATCCAGTACTTTATTACACAACTACTTACTAAATGAATATATTGACATCAAATATTGACTTGAATTGTAATTATTTTATTATGGGAGAAGAAATCGTGTCCAGGAACTCTGAAGGAAATTTCAGCTATGCATCAACCTTTCACTGACCATCTGACTGTTAATTATTCTGCTTATTATGATATTTTTATTTTATTTGGAATTTTTTTTACAAAATATTTGACACTAAATGCTGTCCCTGGCCCATCTGATTCATGTAATACTTTTGATAAGTGCTTTAATTTATAGAATTAAACTTTACACTTTATTTTAATAGTCCACTTTAAACATTATCAGTAACTTTGCAACTACATGTACTTGCCAAGTTACTTATAGTCAGCTGAATGTCTGTTTGGGGAACCATCAAAATAAAGTGTTAGCAGATATTAAGCAGACAGTCTAATAATACTCTAATGACTGCTTGCCACATGTAGTTGCAAAGTTACTTATAGTTAGTAGAATGTCTAAAAGTGGACTATCAAAATAAAGTTTTACTCTTATTCAATGCACCCCAAAAAAATAAAATGAATGATAAACCTATAATGCACAAAACAAGAACTGAAATGTCAGCTGTTTATAATTATGTATTCTGCCTTTTACAGTCTTTTTACAGTCACAACATGATGGAGCAGCATCAGTTTATTTGTCATTGCAAAAATGCTGGAGCTGATGCAGGTTAGATGGAGAGTGGACAGTGGACAGCAACTCAGAGCTCTTTTCACAGATGTTTGATGAGGCCGAACGAGGTCAGAACTCCAACTGAATGTCTCTGGCGTAAATTTTCTTCATTTCAAACCACCCTAGTGTTGTTTTGGCAGTGTATCTTAATGTATTGTGCTGCATTCATCTTCCCATCACTCTTGATCAGACTGCCAGTCCATGGTGCTGAAAAACACCCTCACAACATGCGAATCTCACTGTGGGGATGCTGTTAGGTATATGTATCAGTATGGCAGTACTGTAGGTCCATATTTCAAAGTATGTGCATTGCCTTGGAATCAGTCTTGTATATTTCCTTGGATATTAGTTATTAATCACATGACATGTTTAACTTAAAAACTTCTATGCCAAGTTGCCTTACAGAGCAATAGCAATTGCGATGAATGAGAATGCTGATGAAATTACACAGCAGCTTATTCTTTGTGACTGAACACATAAAAACCACAGTAAACCACTCATTTACATTTTACTTCTATTCTGCAGATATTTTAGTAGATGCATTTATCCAACAGGAGACATAAAGGACAAATTATCATGAAGTGTATTTTTATTGTGGTGCTTCTCAAGTTCAATATTCTCACGCATAAATTGTTTACTATGATTTATAAACATAAGTGACAATCAAAAAGCCCAAATTGTGTACATTTATAAAAGATAATTCTACATTTTCCTCTCAAATTCTCATTTCTTTTGATTTTAGGGTAAATGTGACACTTTTTGAGATTCAGGAGACTGGCTCGCAGTGCAATCATATGACATCAGACGTGGGAGAGAATGGTAATAATGACATTATAATGACATTTAATTTTTTTATTTTAACCCTAAAACTTTGATTTGAGTGAAGTAACGTAAGGTAAATAGCGCCAAAGTTAAGTCTGAACACATTACAGAAGAGACTGTATTAAGTGGTGCAGGATAATTAAGTAATATCAAACTCGCAATAGCGCAGATATCAACAATTTCCATATTGCTTTTATGCAACTGTTATATGCCAATGTAAAATGCCAGAATGATGTTTTCTAATGAGAGTGTTTACTGAGGTGAGGAGCTGATGGATTTGAAATCAAACATAGCTCAATTTAAGCATCAAACTCAATTGTCCTTGAACAACAGTGCGACAGAAGTGAAGGTGGGCAACTAATAAGAGGGATAATTCCTTCCCTTTGTCTTGCTGTACTTCTGGTGCTTCAATCACAACCATCACAGCTATGATGCAGCATTTCTCCTGAGAAATACCCGTGCCCCTCACTCTCTGCCCAATAATATTATAAAAAATATATGTTTGTCAAATAAGGAATCAAAAAGCCCCCAAAATGTCTTAGCCATTTGAAGGAATGGTTAACTCAGAAATTAAAGCTCTGTCTTTGTCTACTCACCCTCTGTTTCTTCTGTGCGATACAGAAGGAGAATTTGTGGCCCATCCTAAAATAGCTCTGGAATTCACTACCACCTGATATCAGAAATACCGACTCTCTATATCTCTTTTTAAATCCAGACTCAAGTCTCACTTGTTTAAGATTGAATACCTCACCTACATTTCATTTGTCCAGTCCTACTTTACTCTGTTTTAGTCTTTTGTATATGGTATTTCTTGTTTGTTTTCTATTGTCTTGTTCGTGAATTTATTGTGCGGTGTCCTTGAGTGTTGAGAAAGGCGCCTATAAATAAAATGTATTATTATTCAAATGTATTATTTCATACAACAACAGTTTATAGTGACCTCATCTGACAAACAAAGCCAAAAATGTGTGCTAACTTAGCCATTACAAAACCTTTGTGCTGAGCTTCAGTTCACACTTCACAGAATGATACCTTGGAATTCTCCTGAACGATTTTATCGTATGATGCAGATTTCATAGTTTCATCAATGCCATCAAGCTCTCCTGATCCAGAGAGAAAGCAAAACTATTAGACTGTCACCATTAGACTGTGATTTGTATTCAGTAATACGAACCTTATGCCGACTGTAGTGTTTGGTTAATATTTTTCATTTCAACCAGACTCATCCATCCACAAAACATTCTGTAATGACATGTGGTTGAGTAAATAACGAGAAATGTATTTCTTGGGTGATCTATCCCTTTTCTTTCATTTTACATTACATAAGTTAGTCCTAATAATGTTTATCTGATTTACTGAGATGGGAGTTTTCTACATTTTTTAATATGTTTATTTTAACATTAGAAGTCATGGGGAAAATGTCAATATTTTAGTACTGAGTGGTTCTTTGAGGAGGCTTATGGATCGTTGCGGTTCAGTAGTTTGGGTTAAAAAAGGAGGATTTCACAGAAGCCATATATGGATCTATTTGACATTAGTTTTATAGAAAAATGCAGATGCCGAATCTTCTGTCTGTTCTGGTTAAGTAAACTAAGGGATGCTGCTGTGTGTGATTTTGCAGTTGTACTCACATTTATTTGTATACAGAAGAGACAAATGGGCTAATCCAGAAATACCCTGTTCTTCCTAATATGGTTTTCATAGTGCATATGTTGCACATTTCCCAATTTCCATCACTGTTGGGGGTAACGCATTACAAGTAATGTGAGTTACGTAATCAGATTACTTTTTTTCAAGTAACTAGTAAAGTAACGCATTACTTTTTAATTAACAAGAAAATATCTGAGTTACTTTTTCAAATAAGTAACTCCGGTTACTTTGTTTTCCCATTTATTGACTGGCAGCTCTCCTGTCCTCATGTCTAGAGTTACCGGAAGTGAGTGCAGAGGCGTTGTGTGCGCTGTGGAAACATGATGCTTACTGTAGTTCTAGACTAAATGTCAACATGCTCAATTTCGAAAAATGGACCCTTATGACTGGTTTTGTGGTCCAGGGTCACATTTACTCATCTCACTTACACAAAGACAGATTCAAACACTAACTCATTCCAGCTTTCATTGACGTTTGTTTTTCCAGGATATTCCAAAATTCTAAAGTCTAAAACTAGTTTAAAACACATGCACCAAGAAATGTAACATTTGTTTTGATGTTTTTGGAAAATTCTACATCATTTTCAAGAATCATTTTATTTACATCTTAAATACACATGTACAAATTTTTATTTTGTATTTATTTATTGGATTATACATGTCATTGTTTTTTTATGCCATGTTTTGCATGTGACATAAGCTTTGAGGCATCTAGCATGTCATTTGTAAATTCAGACCAGCATCTAAAACCGCATTCATGCGTCTAAGTATTGAAGGAGACTCATCTGGAATTCTGTGCATTCATACTAATGTTTCCCGGCATTTCTGATACCAGAGCTCTGCCTCGGCTGTCTCATGTAATCTTGAGGTCATCTCAAACAGACAAAACATTCCCTGAGCTTCACACACACTGTGCTCACGGGCATTTCACACTGCGATAAACAAACTTCACTCAGAGGCAAAGCTTTGACGTCAGCTGCTGTATCAATCCTCTGCTTCTTAGTGACACACGCGAACCTTTGATAAAAAGAGGGGAAAAAAACTATCACTGGGATTTTATCATGAAAGGACTGCTGGAGGTTACTATAGAGACACGGCATACCTTGCTGGGTAAGCGTCATTAGAGATAAGCACGAGGAGGAAAGTAGCCCATGTAAATGTAACACACACATTAATAGCCCTTATTTAATAATGATCCTTTTAGTGTCATAGTAACAGCTTGGGCTGAATAAACGGCTTATGAAAACAGTATCTATATTTTTCTCACCTCTTTTATGTTTTAGATAAAGATGAACATGCACACGGATCCAGCACTTGCTGCAGGTGATGTGATCCGTATCATGTGAAGACACATTTGATGATTGATTAAACACAGGAAAAGGTCAAAGTCATCATTGGGCCATTGGTTGACTTATGGACAAACCATGATATTAACCACAGTCCACTGGACTAGTAAACAAAGATGCCAGTATGTTCAAGTTGATTGTTCACTGAAATTGTCACGATCTCTGCCTGTGGTTATGGACTCTTGTTGTGTAGTTCTGTGTCCTCATTGTTGCTTTGTTCACCTCATGTTTCCCTGCTGCTCTGTTCCCTTGTTTGTTGCCATGGACGCTCATTGGACTACAACCACTCCTTGTAAATTTCCATGGTTACTCATTAGTTCATTGGTTCTACTCTGCTTAAATAGCCCTTGTGTTTTGTCAGTGGTTTGATGTTATGGTTCACGTTACGCTCCTGTTCCTTGTGCCCCCAATGTCTGTGTTTGCAGTTTTGCTTCAATAAATTCCTGCACTTAGATCCTCGTCCCAGCCTGCATCATTACAGAATGATTGACCGTGCCATGGATCTAGTGGGAATGCACTTTATTCTCCTGCACTAGGGCGAGCACTACACCACACCTCTACGTTTTTGGACTTCGCATACCACACTCACTTTCAGGACGGTTCACTAATTACTTCCTACTGTGCTGGACTCAATGAACCATTAAAATTTCAACTTCTCAGTTATGGACCTCGAGGGACCTTCTATGAGTTTGTGAAGCTCGCTCTCCAACCCAGTGAATCCTCCTTCACTGTGGGGGAGGTTGAGGAGGATTCCAACATGGCCCCTCCAGAACCCCCTGCCCCTTTGGTCTGATCTAGGTACCCCCGGACCGTGATTTCTACCGAGGGGAAACAACCACCAGAGCGAGCCTTTAGCATGCTGAAAACACGCTGGTGCTCTATTTTCTTCAAGGCCTTAGAGGTGAGCCCTGCCTTCATGACTGAGGTTGTTGCATGCTGCACTGTGCTTCACAATCTCGCTCTTCTCAATGGGGAAATCGTTGAGCCAGAGGATGAGGAAGACCACGATGATGCCCCCTGAACCACACAACCTTGAAGCAAGAGATGGAGAACATGTGCGGAACAATCTAGCTGCCGCTGTATCTGCTCCACACATTTGTGTGCCTGCTTTCCATGAGCATGACTAGGTTAAAACGTTTTACAATTCGTGACCCACAATTCACGTGTGGGTGTTTTTGTACTGTACACCACTCATATTCACACAATATTCATCACTTTATAAATATTTAAAGTAATTAATGAATGTTATCATTATCTCAAAGT